GACATGGAATATATTTATCTCTCGGAGGCTATCCTTTTAATTGATAATGCCTCTGCGTTGCCCTACTGTTCCAAAGGCAAAGAAAACAGGAAAACTTCGTAAATCCGCCCTGAAGAATTGGTTGATCGTTTTTGAGAAGCGTGAAACAAACAAATATAATGTATTTGTTAATAAAAAATGAAAATTATTTATAATTATTCATTAAGTAATAATTTATAAACCTTAAATGAGCTGATTTCGATCGGGACAACCAGTTGATTTCAAATAATATTTAATCTGCGCTCGCGCTGCCCTCTATCTCAAAAACGATTCAACGTATGAGAAAATGTTTGAAACAAAAGTTGTAGAGAATTTATTTCTCTACAATATTGATAATAAATACAATCAGCATAAAATCCATTGGAAACAAGATATTGCCAAAAAAGTGCAAAAAGTCGTTTTTTTTGACTTTTGACCCCCAATTTTTGAAGTTACGGCCGTCGAATCATATGTGAATTTTGAGAATACTTTCATGATGCCAAAATACAAAGTTTATACAAATTCACAGCTGGGTATATCAACTTTCCGAAATACAGGCCTAAATCTACCTAAAATGACTGGACAAATTATCAACCGATTTTATACAGCCAATATTATTTATCTAAACTAAAAATAAATTCGGCCCCAAAACTGTGCCTTGTGGAAAACCAATTGTGATTTCATTTGAAGAACTAAGTTCACTGCCAATTTCAACGGTTTGTTCCCTTTGCGATAAATAATTTTGCAAAATGTTCAACTAGTCTAGTTCACATGTACTTTTTTTTGTAACATTTTTCAGGCCTGTCCAAAAATTACGACCAAGGTGTCATTCGATTCGTATTTTTGCCTAGAAAGTTTAAGGAAAGGTCCGAAAACGCGCCGATAAAAATTACAAAAGTTATAAACAATTACAAAAACAACTGCAGTTCAAGGAACCTCAACGATGCCGAGAGAGCGAAATTACACGAATTGATTGTCGCTCATAAAGAATTTCTTCCACCCGTGGATGACGAACTGAACGATCTTCTCGGCAATGAAAGCAAACTCGAGGTAGGTCTTGATGCAAAACGAACACTTTTTCCAATCACCAGAAGTGCAATACTCTTCTCGACGCGCGTTGAATCAATCAAATTGGCGTCTTCACCAACCAGTTTTCTTGGAAAATGATTGGGAAAAGTGCTTGTTTTGGAGT